ACACACACACACACACACACACACACACGCTAACGCACAGATTGTGTGAGAAAATGGCTTCAGTCAGGATACCCTGACCCTGGCACTTCCACCTCAGGCCCGTATCTCAAGTCCCGGCTGTGCTTTACAGAAATAGGCTTTCTCATAACCCTCTGATCATGTAGTGTCTGTCCTAGAATAAGACTTTGAGTCCATGTTGAGTCTAAAAGTGTTGAGTCTAAAAGTTTACCAAAGCCAAAGACAAAGAGTTATGGTTACTCCAAATGTTATTGTTCATTTGTATATTCGGATCTATATTTTTAAAGATTGTTCATTGGTACATTCAGATCTATATTTTTAAAGATTGTATTTTTCAGTTTTATCATTTCTGTCCTATATTTTTATTTCTACATTTTATTTCTTGCTTCTCATAGAAGTGTTGTGCACCAAACACCAAGGCAAATTCCTTGTAAGTCTAAAAACCTACTTGGCAATAATCAATCAATCAATCAATCAATCAATCAATCAATCAATCAATCAATCACTTTATTTTGGTAAATTGTCCACATTAAACACAAGAAACAACAAAAGAAAAAAAGAAAAGAACAATAGACAAACCCACAGTTTACCAAAAAAGGAACTTGCCAATAAACCTTATTCTGATTCTGATTCTGATTCTGTACAATTCAGTTTTTCACTCTTTGCCATCTGACATCCCAAATACAGACTCTCTCCCTCTTTTCAAAACAAAACTCAAAACTCACTTGTTTAAACTTTACCCACCTCAACAACCCTAACTCTAACTCTAACATTACCCTCATTCTTCCATCTTTATTCATTTATGATGTTTTTATTTAGGATGTTTTTGTGACTTTGTATGTTTTCAATGTTGTTTTAATGACAAAAGTGTCCTTGGGTGGCAGGAATGGCGCTTTTTCAAAATAAAATGTATTACTATTATTGATATTACTAATTTCCATAAAACTTATTGAGCATTCTTGAGCTAAAGAATTCTAATCTAATGTTTGAGTTTGCGTTTAAGAGGATGGACTCATGTCTGGGTGCTTTAAGCTTTAAGCCTAGCTTAAAAACTGGGGAATAAAACACAGGCAAGTCAACCCAGTTCAGGTCAACATGAATATAGACAAAACATGAACATGATTAGGACGAATCAGGAGAGAAGTAAATGAGGAGGAAGTTTGTTGATGAGCAGCATCAGATGTAGAAGCTGGAAACAATTCTTCAAAGTCTAAACTTCGAGATTTCTAAGGTCAGTGCTATAAGAATACACTTTGTACAAATGATATCTGGTGTTACAGCTCATGGAAATTTCAATGATCTGGATTATAGGAGTATAAACTCTGAGCTAAACCAGGCTAGCTCTCGCTTTTAAGTTTAATTTCCATGCTTAGGTTGGCACACTGGCTACAATTCAAGTTTATCTTTACTCAACTCAACTCAACTCAACTTTATTTATAAAGCGCTTTCAGTCAGCCAAAGCTAAAATCAAAGCACTATACAGGACATTTGAGCAGATCATAAAACACAATTATCACCACAACACAAGACAAACTCAAAGATTAAAAACAGTAAGAGCAAGCACAAATTGGTCCCAACATGTTAAACTGGTTAATTTGGTGACCCGTGTTTTAATGACCCGTGTTTTAATGAACACGTGAACCCAACCTGTCATACAGTGGGGGAAATAAGTATTTGACCCCTTGCTGATTTTGCAGGTTTGCCCACTTACAAAGAATGCTTATTTTTCCTCATCAGATGGTTATCCATTTTTATAAATTCA